GCCCCGCGTCCAGGCGGGTGTTGAATATCTCCAGAGAAGGAGACTCCACAACCTCCCTGGGCAGCCTGTGCCAGGGCTCCGTCACTCTCAGAGGGAAGAAGTTCTTCCTCATGTTCAGACAGAACTTCCTCTGCTTCAGTTTGTGCCCGTTGCCCCTTGTCCTGTTGCTGGGCACCACTGAAAAGAGTTTGGCCCCATCCTCCTGACACCCACCCTTGAGATATTTATAAGCATTTATGAGGTCGCCTCTCAGCCTTCTCTTCTCCAGGCTGAACAAGCCCAGCTCCCTCAGACTTTCCTCACAGGACAGATGCTCCAGTCCCCTCATCATCCTCGTAGCCCTCATAGCCATCCTAGTCTGCCTGAAAGCCTGAGGAGAGAACGCGCAGCGTCAGCTCACATGATGAGAAGCTGCTTGGTCATGCAGCCTTGTGCATGTGTGGTCACATCAAGGGAAATAAGATGGGAGATGGGGTCTTCAAGGGGCTTTGTTCCACCCGCAGCTGAAGCGTTGCGACCTGTGTAATGTTGCATAGGTCGATGGAAGCTCACCATGCTCGTGGTCTAAGCCAGCTCTGTCTCATACAGCAGTCCGGAAGGTCAAGGCTAAGTCCTGCTGAGAAGCTGGAGACTGCGTTACGCGTATACAGCGCGAGGGCGAACTCGGAGCACGGGCAAAGACCACGTGAGTCTGCCCGTAAAAGGAACATGTGGATGTACCCTGAACCAGCAAAGCTTGCAAAGGTTTACTGCAGGTGCTGCGTCGACGGTAGGAACGAGGGAGCTGCGGGACAGGGACACGGCCTGTTCTGGAATGTCAGAACTGGTGGGTGACTGGTGTGGAAAACTCATACGTGGAGGCTTAAAAAAAAAAAAAAAATCAGGATTATACTTGCTGCTACTAAGACTGCGGTACACAACTTTCCAGGTGTATGGAGGTTTGTACCGGGAGCCTCTGCATTCTGTGGAATTTGGGTTCACGGGTCCGGTTCAGGCGGGCTGGCGTGAGCTGTGCTGCCCGGCGGGACGGAACAACAGCGCGCTGGAGCTCGCCCGACGCCGTGCCCGTATTTCGCAAGCCCTGTTTTGGCCAGTGTGCGTGCGTGTGTGTGTGTGTGGAAATAACATCTGTATGTATGCACTTGCATATGTATGAACTAGATTTTATACTAAGTGTGTCTTCACACTCACATGAGTGATCAGGCGTGCACACACCGTAGCAGTGGTCAGAATGGCCAGCGGTACGATGCCACGCCAGATCGGTGCTGCTCAAAGCATGAAACACGCTGTGTATACTAACAGGTCCCAGTAAGAAGCTGGGAGAAATAGGTTTTGTACCAAAACATCTGAATTTTCGTATCAGGACATTCAACTTTACACTGATTTCTTTGAGTGTGTGTATAAGGTCTGGAATTGAGTTGTTTTATTTATATATCTGTATAAAAATATGTGGCCCACGTGGTTGCAAAGAATGACTTCTAAATGTCTCTGAGCATAGTGCTTTCCCCCTCTTTTTTACACAGGTACCTATCGGTGGCAGTTGTAGGGTGTACCCCCCTCACCGTGGTTTTAACGAGAAGGAATTGCAGTGCCACACTTTACATTGTTTATATATTTTTGACTGGTTTGCTGCTGCTGATTTTGGTGGTGATACCGACTGGTGTGCTTGCCCAGCACTGCTGGAGCTTAGCAGAGATTTCTGCTTTTGCAGTGTACCTGACTAATCCTGCAGCTGGCTCCGTGGCCGCAGTAGGTCTCTGGGGAAAGGGATGCAGACTGAAGCCAGTGAAAGGGCTGGAGCTGCGGTGGGGAAGAGATGAAGGAAATAAAGATGCTAAGAAGATCCATGGATTTGAGAAGCTGCTGGCCAGGGATGCTTGTGAATGGCTTGCTCTGCAGTACCTGGTACTCTCCGAGGGATTGCAGGGATCCTTTCTGCAAGCCCCAGGCCACTTCTTGACACTCAGCTGCTGCTAAAATGTTCTTTTCCTATAGTCTAATAAAAAGGAGCTGTAGGGGGAGCGTGAAATTGTTTGCAGCTCCTGGGGGAACAAGGCACCTTTATGTGCAGCTGCTCAGGGAAGTAGAAGGAGCTTTCAGAAATGGGGTGGGCTTTGTTTACACAGGAACTGAAGCCTTCGTTTGCAAATGGACATTTATGCTTTTAGCTCTGTGTTTGGACTTTTTTATGGACACCTTCAAACCAATGACTTCTTGATTTGTATTCCACTTCTGGAAAGTGGTTTGGAAATGTGACTAATGGTCATCTAATTGGCTCCAGAAGCGTCAAGATTTTCTTTTGCTAGCAAACTTTAGGAAGGGTCACTACAGCTCTCGGTTGGTAGGCTCGTTTTTAACTGAATTCAAAAGTTATATGCGGTCCAGCTGTAGAACTGATCATTTTGCAGGGGCTTGTCCCATCCCAGTTCGAGTTTCCTAAAGGAAATCTGCAGCACTAAAACTGTCTGTTTGGCTGAGAAGCCCTCTTTGCCAGGGAAAGGCATCTTGTAAATGCAGCTTTTCTTTTGGCAGTCTGAACGGACTTGCTGTAGCAGATCAAGGAAATCAACCCCCAGTCTACAAACAGCTGAGCTCAACTCCAAGGGAAGCCCTCACGTCGAGACTCTGGTTTGCGAAGCCAGCTGCCCCTGAATACCCTTTGCAGCAGTCCTCGGAGCATTTATTTTCCCTCTTACGTGCTCTGTGACGTGCTGTGTACACTTAGCAGTGCTCTATAAATTAAAAGGATTGACGTGCATTTATTTTCAGTTCTTTATGAACTTATTTAAAACTATGCCAAATCGAAGCGGCCTTAGGGTTCACAGCACATTACCAGTGCAGTAGTCTTAGCGGCTAGGACTGGATTGCTCGCCAGTGTAAGCACATTTCTGGAGTGCCTTTCCACAGCCACTGTTAGTTTTCCCCCGTTCAGTGTCACTTGGCTGAAATAATGAACTTCCCCTAGCTGCTCTGCCCTTTACTGTTGGTGATCATCCGGCTGGAGAGGAGAATCTGGGCACCACCCTTCCTTTACTGTTGCAGAAGTTACCGGGTATGTTCCTCTTCTTCCAGGGATTTTATCGCTTTGAGCCAAATTCAGAAGACAGAGGTATGGGCATGTGGAAAAAATGAAGAAGCAGAAGGTTTATTTTCACAGCAGCTAGCTCCCTGGCTTCTCTACCAGCCTGTCTCCTCCCTCAGGATCGTAGTGGGAGACTACTGGAAAAAGCAAAAGGTAATTGGCTGCTGTCATTCCAGCAGACCGTCAGTAGCAGACTCCATCCCAGAACCGTGGTCACCAGGTGGTGCCCAGACCCTCCTGCCAGCTGAGGCAGCTCTGCAGGATGCAGTAAATTCCTGTTGTGCTGAGGGTGCTTAGATACTACAGCAAGACTATGGCACTTCAGAAATACCTAAGACAGACAAATGGATGAGTGACGTTTCTGAAATAAAACTTGTCATCCTAGTGTTCTTTGTTATCCCATCTGTTTTTCTTTCTTTCTCCCCAGAATGACCTGCTGAGAATCAGTTTCTTGGCCCCTGGCAGGACCGGGTTTGGAAATACACGTGTCATCCTTCACAGAGGGGTGACCGTGACTTAGCACAGCTGCTGTGCCGTGCCAGTAGGAATCCGGCGGTGAGGGCCGTTCTTGGAATTGGTCATCATTTTCAGCTAATGTTTCTGAAAGAATCTGAAAAGCCAGAGGATGGCACACAGTGCTCACCATTCCTTTGTGAGAGAAGGTGGCAGAACCTTATTCTGCAGTGACGCATCATCCTGCTGGTAGATGAACGTGGTTCTAGCAGAGCTGCAGCTGCTCTGAGGAGATTTTCTTCCCAGTGCTGTCACCTGGGTTGTACAGGACCCAGTGTTCTAGTCCCCTGCTGACAAAATACCTGTAATAGCGATGACGAAATACAACTTCTTTTACATTCCTCTTTGCTTCGTTGTTTATGACAGGGAAAAGAAATTTCTTTCGATCTTGAACAAGAGGTGTGTTTTGCGTGTTTAATAAATTTTAAAAAGTATTTGATGTGTAATCTCCAAAGCAATTTTTGAGATGTATCAAACAAACAAAAGTGCCCCTGCATGCACAGCAAACTGTTCTTTCTGGCCGTGCCTCCCCTTTACCCCAGCAACACTGGTCTGAATAGCCAGAGACACAACAGCAGAAGCCTCCATCTCTGAAAAAAAGGAAAATAAGGGATATTTCAGGAGGTGGAACAAACAGAGGCCAAAAGAAGCCTTGCTGGAGTAGTCTGGTTTGCTGCTTATGCCTTCGTGTGCCAAGCTCGGAAGGACCTTTACCCTTTCCATGCCAAACCTGATATATCTCACAAGCAGGCTGATCCACCTCTCGACTGTCTCCTCCCTTTTCTCATTCCAGTGCTTGCTAGCTTTCTTCGTAGAAATTCCGTGTATCCATCTGGTAACACTGCTT